CGCTGTTATCATCCACATCTTTTCTATCCATGTCCACATTATAGTGTCCATGTCCACATCTTCATCTTTTTGTATATATACTAATATATATATATATATATATATATATGAAAATGGATCTTAAAAGATAGATAGCTTTATATATATTTAATGTGACAATTATTTTTAGTTTATATATTTTTAGAACTTAAGATAAATGTAATTTAAAATAAAGAGTAGAATAAGAATTAAAGAACTAACATTTCTCCTGTGTAACTCGTTTACAGCAGCAAAAATAAGAGAAATCTTGCATTTATTACACCTTCAACTACTTTTTCAGTGTGATAATTTACATTCGTCTTTCACCCTTGGATTCTTTTGTTTTGCATCACATCTAACGGTTCTTAGTTATCTTTATCTCCTACAAACAATTAAATATTACAATATTTTATCTTGTCTCATTTCACCCACTAAAGGGTATTTACATCCAAAAAGAATCTTGGATGAGAGAAAAGTGTGTCTCCAGCTATAAGTGTCTTATCATGTCAAAAGTGTGAATAAAGTGTCCTAGAAAGAAACACACTCTTTATATATTGGTTAAATAATATAATGGATGTATACATAGAAATATATGAATTAGAAGTATTAGATGAGATATGAAAAAAAAAATTATGGTTGTTAGTACAAGATTATTTAAAGAAATAATTTATTAAAATTTGAATTAAAGATTAAGATAGTCTAAATAATAAATCTAATTTTAAAAACCCAAGTAATGTTTATGCTTAATAATATTATAAACTAGGGCCGGCCCGCCCTACGGGCGGGAAGTTATAATCAAAACTAATTATATGAACTTCTATATTATTTTTGTAGAATATTTAAAATCATTATAAACTGAAAGTAATATTATAAACAAACAAATAACAAAAAGATTTATGATATCATACTGTTATTTTTAATAAATATTTCTGGTTTGAATTAAAAAGATAGTTACCTTCATTATTTTCTATATTTTAGAGAAAACAAAATTAGCAAAAATAATTCAAAAACTGTAATTTATATATATATTCATATTATTTATATTTCAATTTTACATAATTTTAAATAAATATAAATTTAAAATAAACATTACTATATTTATTGGGGAAATTTCACTTTTATCTTTCATTTGGTAGCATTGTTCATGTTTACTTTATCTGAATGGACATTTAAAAGAATACTTAAGTATGAAACTTTATTAAAAAAATCAAAATATATTTATACCATTGATTTATAAATATAATAAATAAAAAAATAATATTTTTTATGTTTTCGAATAACTTTTCAAATTCTATTGAATTCTTTTTCCAATTTTTTTTCATAAATTCTTTTTTAAATTCGAAAAGACTTTTTGAAACTATCTTTAGATTTTAATGTTAAGTATTATTTTAATTTTATTAAAATTCTAAACTTTATCCTCCAAAATATAAACCTTAAAGCTAAATTAGTTAAATTTAGGGTTATAAGTGATTATTTATTTCTTTACAACCAAAGGTAAATGTGGGCAATTTCCCATATCTATTTCAAGAAGATCAATTTTTAAAAAAAAAATCAATTTGGTAAAATAATTACGGTATAATGATATCTGGAATGGTTTCTTAATCTCAGTCAAACTGCAGGCGTAGTTGAGGAACAATATCTCTGTAACACATAAGAACTTCTTTACACCGCTACAAAATATATCACTGGAACAGAAACTAAAGACATCCTGATCATGTGTTGTAGCTGCAAAGCCAAAACCAATGAAATTAACCTTTAACTCTGTGACCACAAAACAAACTTAGCAGTTAAATGATAAAAGACCAGAGCTTTGAGGTTATAACCATCTCCAAATCCATAAAATGAGATCAAGTTATCTTCATTGAGGTCAGGCTCTTCCAACCAAATGTAATGCAGGCTCTTCTTGCTGATAAAGTTTTGGAGTTGTTCCAATGTAATGCAGACTCTGCCAACCGAATTATCTCGCCCCTAAACCAAATCACCAGTTAGCTTTCAGATCATAGCAGCATTTACTTGTATGTAGCCTTAAATATTGGCTATACATAAAGATCATAACTTGTCTAACCTGTCCACTCATTGCTTTAGGTGACATCAATACCAACAATCAGATTCGAGGACTCCACAAACCAGCATGTAACTTGCCAAGAAAAAGAAAATCAAGCAAAACACCAATACACATAAACTCACACAAACTAAAACAAAAGAAGCTTGTGTGATTCAAACCTCATCAATGGAGCGGCAGTTATGACCAAGCCGTGACAACTTGCTCTCGAGATTCTTTTTAGTTTGCCATCAAGGATTATAGGAGCGTGCAGGACTTGCAAATGGATGACTTGGTGTGTGATAGGAGCTGTTATGGTCTCCATATTTATACAGATCGCCAAAACAAAGCACTGATGTCAACGTAGTGGAGGAATGCATGCGATTAGTCACGAAGCTTAGCGCAGGTGGTTTGAGATAATGAGAAGAATCGCAAGAGTCAGCTGTCCCAGGAAGAGGAGGGACAACTTTCTTTCCTCGGGTTAGGGAGATTCAGTTTTATTGGGCCGGATATGCAAAAAGCCCACAACCAAATGGAATAAAACGAAACGCGAAACTTACAATGTCCATGTGGACTTTATGCGCTGTCATCCGACGTGAAGGGCTTTAGAAGGAAAGAAGCATCTATTATATTAAAAGAGAAGTCATAAATCACTTTATGTGTGATATTTTAGTTTAGACCATTTTTAGAGTTTTATAAAATTTTACATAACATTATAATATCATTTATATCTTTAATTTTGGTTTGAAATACAAATAAATAGTTTTAAGAAAATTCTAACAAAATCTTTTAAAAATCTTTTAGAATCTTTTTCAAGATATAGTTTCAAAAATTATTTGATTAAAATTTTAATTATCATAAAATATAATTATCATAAAGAATAATTAAAATTTTAATTCATTTTTAATTTATAAACAAAAAAATAAAATTATGTAAAATACTTTTAACAATATCCTAAAATTTTGTTTATGTATTATGTAGGTCCAACTTAATTAATTTTTACATAGCTTTCAAATTTAGAAATAAAAAATTATATAAATTAGTAATCTTACATAATAATGTTTTTAAAATTATTACAAAAATACAAATTTCTAAATTTTATATTAATAATATTATAAGTCACATAAAAATGATTATAAAATTGGATAGCATAATGAATCAAATTATACTTATTTATTGATAAATTTTATTATATAATTTCAAATATTTTTGTATTAAAATACCCGCACGATTGTGCGGGTTGAAATCTAGTTCTTTTATATAATAGATATCGATACTATTAAAAGGGAATGAGTCTTAAAAAATCTACTTATATAAGTTGTTGGACCTATTCACTGGAAACTTAATATACCTTATTTTATACTAACCTTAATTAATCCAATTATTAATATTGTTAAAAGGAATAGCATCCACTTATTTCGGTTAATATTTATTTCAAACTAAGATTCATTCATCGCAATATAATGGGGATGATTGGTTGAACTGTAACTGTAAAAGTTTTACTGTAGAAATTAGTTTGTAGAGTTTTTTGATTTAGCTGTAAGAAATGTAGCTTTAAAATTTATTGCTACAGCAACATATTTTCTACAACAAAAAAGATGTGGCTTTAGAAAATAAAGATTTTACAACGATTTTTTTAGTTTTTGGTTGTAGCTTTAAAAAATAAGATAAAGCATGATTGGTGATTTAAGTGATGTAAATAAAAATTAAAGCTAAAGTCAGCACTTACAACCCAACCAATCACCCCCAATATCTCACGTAGCTAACTGCCTATCATTATATCACCCCGATTTTTTGAATATAATATAGCTTTTTACAAGTATTTTGTGTGCATTATTATTCACTTCATTAAGTAAGGAAAAAGTCAAAACAAATCGATATTATGCATGTACACATTTGACCTTATATCAATAATCAAAAATAGAAATTCGAACTAACACTTGTCGTGATAAAATTTGTTGGTATGTTATTCATGTAACTTTTAAATCTATGTATGAAAACTCGCAAAATATGTTCAAGAGCATTATGTATATTTTCTAAACAAACCAAAACCCTATACCATAAACCATATATTATATACTTATTTAAATCTCACCATTTTCATGTATTTTCTTGAATCTATGTATTTGTTTAAATACATATTATCTAGAGATTTTTATCAGATCAATTCTATTAAAAATGAATCAATCCCAAAAATGTACTTTATATGAAAATCAAATAGTTTATTCAGTTTTATGTACTATTATAAAATGTAAGAGAAGTTAAATAATTTTTTTTTAAAATTAGATTTTATTGGTTTTTAACGGGCTAACAGGTATCGATTCACGGGTTATTGACGATTTTTGGTTTTTATCAAATTTTTAATCAATGAAGTTTTCATTAAATCCAAATTTTGAGGAAATACATCATTTAGTAGATATTTTGATAGAATGCTATACATGAAAAACATAGACATATATAAATTATATATGGGCAACAGGTTTACTGGTTTGACCGCGGGTCTAACTAGTATATGAAACCACTGATAATTTAGTTTTTTTTTTGTTAATTTGTTTATATATAGTATTTTTAGAATAATTGGTTATTTAGAAAATAAATATAATTAATTTTGTAGGTAAATAATTTGTATTTTACAATTCCAAATATCCATTTAGTTCTCGATATGGTTTTAATTTTTTGGTTCCATAAATATACAATCTCCTCAGTTATTGATAAAATTCAAATCAGTTTTGTTTGTTTAGTTTTATACGGTGAGGTTCTTCAGTTTTGTTTGTTTAGTTTTATACGGTTAGGTTATCTGGAACAGGTTCTTTGGTTCCAGATAAATGTTTTCAGACTTATACACTATTATATAAAAAAAAAATTTAAAAAGAAGTTGAAATCCAAAAATAAACCTGCAACAGGTCAAAATCTAGTTTTACCTTAAAAGAATTATGTTAGTTTTGCGAATCCAACCAACTATATTTATCTAAAGCGTTCAGTTTTTTTTTTCACAATACGGCCATGCTGTAATGTCTCAAAATCTAACTCTCAGGGCTTTAGAAAAGTTTAAGCAACTCGAAGCAGAGTATATAATTACAAGAGTTGAAGCCAAAGACAACAACATATTACATATACATACAACCCCACATAAAAGAAGAGTGTGATCACATTTCTTCCTTCACCCTCTACGGCGTTGGAACTTACCTTTGCCGTCTCTGATCCATATTGTTGACCTTGTTCTCCTAACATGATCAGTGAAGAGACGGTACCTGAGAATGTACAAGTTTCATAAGGAGACATGCATGACACAAAACAAAATCTTTGTTTGAAAAAACATAAGAATTTCTACTGACCTCTCGTACTCTAGTTTTTGAGTAACTATCCCATTTAGCACTAACTCAGAGCTATAGACCTCAGCCCCTGTAGAGAATAAAGAAAAAAAACTTGAATTTCTCGTGAAATCTACACCATAAAATAACCAGGGGTTATATAAATCAAAGAGTAGTTCACCTCTTTCTAGAAATGGTATGCTGATATCTCGATCCTCTTCACAAGACAAGACTAGAAGATTCTCTGGGACCTTATCGTCGCTTAGGACAGATCTTCCCACTCTTTCTACAGGCTGCAGTTTGGTTTCAGTATGCATCAGTTTAGGAAGAAAATGTTATGAAAATTGTTTTGGGGTATTATCCACATGAAAGTGTAAAACAGACTTCAGAATCGGTACCTGTCCCTGAACTGCCTTAACCAAAGTCGTGATTGTGTTCAAACCAGGCTTCGTATTTGGGGTGATAAAGACCCTTCTTCCCTGAAGTGTAGTGTAACAATGATGAGCTAAAAAGAAAAGAAACTGAAACTAAAAGATCGTAAGATACCTTTAGTAGCGGATTATGTCGTGCACGAGCCAAAGAAGCCCCCATGTTGAAACCGAACTCCTTCTCCTTCTTTGAATCTCTGAGTATGTAAGTATCCTCGTCAACGTAAATATTCACTTGATCAATGCTTTTAAGCCATTGTGTTGTCACCACTGGCTTCCCTGAAGCGATCGCCTCCAGCATGTTCCTTGTGCGCATAAAGTTATCCGCTATAAAGTGTGTTGCCTCCATCATTGAGGATGCTTCCGAGATATCAAACTTAGCCAAAATCTGTAAAGCAAATGTCATATTGTTGTTAGAAGATAACTTCTGTGTAAAACTGAAACTTAACTATCCAAATCATACCTTCTTCTGATGCTTGGTTACATCTTCATCAAGATGCTGGCTGAACAAGACACGTACACTACCCAAATCTCTTCTCTTTCTTGTACTCTTTGTCTCGGGAATAGGTTCCGCTGATGGTGAGGTCAAGTTACGGAACTCCCTTGTAGCGTTTGATGTACGTGAATCCTTGCAAGAGAGTCTATGATACTCATCTCCCATGCATATAGGGGATACATTCTTTGAAGGCTCCTTAGATTTAGCTGGAGTATCAAAATCAGGATATGAACTACTCTCTGCCTCGTTAACTTGATCTTGTGAAATACGAGCTGACCTTCTCCGCTTGGGATAACTTAAAATCTCTGCCTCACCTCTACTTGATTGCTTAAGTAGCTTTGACACAACAACTTGATCTGGCATATCAAGTTTATCATTCTTTGAATAGCTCTCCACATTCTTTTCACAAGGCTTGGCAAGAACTGATTTAGCTTTCTTGGTTTTTGGTTTCAACGATTCAACATCATTATCTTCAGCTTGGATCCCCTTCAGTCTCTTTGATTTCCTGGTAACAGCTCCACGTGAAGATTTCTTACCCTCATGATCAGTTTCCCTGGGGTCTCCAGTGTGCAGAGCACTGATCACTTCAGCAGCCATCTGCGTATCAGGGCCTGCTTCTACCTCTTCATGCCTATCAAACATTTTTGTATTACTTTCCTTGGAAACTTTATCCAACTCATCAACGACATTCCTTTTACTCTCTCGTGAAACAGTGGTGACTTTACTTCTCTTCCAGCCGCATGGACCTTCCTTATCAAGCTGGTCACTCTTTAAAGACCTTTCAGTGCTCTTCCTACAAGCTTTAGCAGGACTAGGACTAGCCTTATTCATCCTTCTATTCAACAATTCATCTTTACCCATAGCCTGTATCCTCTTAGTTCCCTTGGATTGTCTAGTAATGACTCCACCATTAGAAAACCCTCTCTCTTCCCCCGGAGAGAGTTTATTTCCTGTACTAGCTTCAGCATTAACTTTGCTGCGATCTCCCAAGCGCACAGCATCAACAGCTTGAGCAGCCACTTGTGCATCATACCCTAAATCTACCAAGTCACGCACATCAGATATTTTATTATTACCTTCTTCGGAAACTGCATTTAACTCTTTGCCAAGATTCTTTTTAGGAGCTTGGATCATCTTTCGACCCCTAGTCACACAACGCTGCAAAAGCCTAGAATCAGACTGAACCCTTCTTTGACTTTCATGTATCAGTTCCCTTCTCTGTTCTCTAGGCAAGGACGAAGATTTACTTGCAACCCCAAAAAATTCTTCTTTTCTTCTAAGGAAAATATCACCCCCTCCTTCATCCTCACGATTATCATCCCACTCGAACATAGTGTTTACAAGAGCTCTCGCTTTGTAACTTGCTTTCTTTGCTAATTCTTGTGGACCTTTAACACTTGGGATTTTGTTAAATGTTTCTTCTGTTCTTCTTCCATAATCAGCTTCAACTTCAACATCAAACTTTAGACCTGAGTCACTAATGAGTTTATCAACGAAGTTAAGAGCATTGGCCTGTGATGCCTCACCAGGCTCTTGAGAGTCTATATAACTCAAACCAGGAGAAGGGCAGTTCTCTTCAGGCGAATCATCCTCAAATAAAAGCTTCCTCGCTGTTCTTTTTCCTTCATTTTTCTTTTCACCAGACGTACAGGGAGGAGGACAGTTCTGATTTCCTTCTTCTCCAAAATTTTGTTCTAGACGAGGATCATGTGTGGCTCCTTGACCAGTAGAATGACAGCTAGCTAAAGTAGAACTGTCACTGTGGAGAAGCTTTTGGGATGCAACAGCAGAAGCACGAAAAGCTGCTGAACGAACTGATGCGAACCTAGCCACCTTTCCTGTAAAAGAAGAAAACTTCTATGAACAAAATATGCAAATGAGAGAAGGAGATTCGAACTCTTTGATGAGAACACACGACAAAGAGTTTCTACTTGGGAAGCATGCATATAATGACTATGAAATAGTGCAAGCATTAATAATTTAATAGAAAAACCGAAGAAAACATTTACTACCAGCATATTTAGAGCTTCATCTCCAAACACTTGGCGTTTCAAGCTTGTAAATTCTCATTAATTTCTGAACAACTAATGTATAGTGAAGGAGGCATTTTTGAACCAAAAAAAAACATGACCTAGCCAACTTTTATCTTAGATAAGAAGCAAACAAGAACTTGATTCAAGAAAATAACAGCAATAATGTTATGCTGTCATAACAAAGTCTACCACTTTGTTTTAGAAACTCACCCGTTGGCTTAACGTTTTCATGTCCACTCGACCGAGGATCCTGTCCACCCGTTGATTTAACCTTCTCATCAACATGCTCTCTATTCTTAACCTCACTCGATAACAGAAATCCTCCTCTACTGTTCGAGTCACCACAGTCAGAGACCTCATTGTTGTCCACCAAGAAACCAGTAACATCATCATCAATATCTTCATCAAAATGATCCAGCACCTGCGTAGCCAAGCCATCAAAACCTTGGAGTAACTGCTCATCATCCACAAATGGTTCTTCTTGAGTTCCAAATCCCAAATCCACAGCTTGAGTTTCCCGACAAAGGAGAAACTCATCGTTGTCTATGACCTGAGTCTCCATATACTCATCATTGATCCAAGCATCGTCCTCAAAAGGTACAGTGTCCTGAATATTAAATTCATCTCCTAAATTCCCAAACCAACCATCTTTATCTTCTCCACCTAACACACGAAACAGATCTAAACCCAGTTACAAAGAACTCAACTTTAACTCATGTTAATATTCAGAAACCCAGATCGAAGAAAAGTGGGGAAAGGTCACAGCTTTATGAAGGATAAACCCTAGAGAGAGAAAGAGAGAGAGATCGTACCAGAATCAGAAGGCGAAGAGGGAAGAGAATCGATGGGCTGAGTGTTTTGATCCGCGGAAAAGTTGTGATCTTTAGTCATTCTGATTCATCTACTGACGAAATTTCGACAAAAGTGATCTCTTTTCTTAACCGATTGGTCGGGATTGATTTGTCGACACGAAGTTGTGCGCGAAAGTGAGAAGAAGAGGAGGGAAAGACAAGTGTTTAGGCGCGCAAAGAAAGTAAAGCGTCTCGTTAGGGTTCGCGTGGAGGGGAATAGAGTACAGTATAATATATATAATTAATAACTAGAATTGTTTATCGAAAAGGGCGTTTGGTCTAGTGGTATGATTCTCGCTTAGGGTGCGAGAGGTCCCGAGTTCAATTCTCGGAACGCCCCATTTCTTTTAATTCCTAATAGTTTTTTTTTTTTTTTTTTGGGTCAAATCCTAATAATTTAAATTGGATAAAGTTGGCAGCGTCATTAACGCTATATATATGCGTAAGAAACATTAGGTTCATCGTTCATCAAAGCACAGACAAGACAACAATTAGAAGTTCGCTTTTTCTTTAATTAAAACAGAAATATATAACACAGACAGAGCATGTCAGGATCTCTGCAGTTGTAATTTGCATCAACAGTTTACACAGAAAAATACAACAGACTTATATTCGCGTTATCTCTTCATACAATAATGTAATCTGAAGCCTTCAACACGTTCCATAGACTCAGGCTTGTCTTCTTGCCATCTTTCACATATAATCAGGATTTATATATGCAACCCTGAACCTGTCACTTGTTTCTCTCACTTGACTGAAACCTTCTTTCTGGAACTCATCAGCTTGATCTCAAACGCGTTTAACAAGAACTCAGGTGCTCAGAGACTGCCAGCGATGCTATAACCCACTTCTGCTGCAATGTTCACCAGCTTTCCAATCTCTTCGCACCTGAGTTCTTGTAATGTTCACCCTCTTAGCCTAATACAGGCGACGAGGATATGTTCTTGTTCCATAATCATCAGGGGTCTTTAGTTCTTTGATTCTGAAACAGATCCGTCTTGTAGACTCAGGTCAAAACTAGAGAGCTTAGTCCTGTGGATTTATGAAGACCCCTCTTCTCCATTTCCACTCTGAACGTTTCAGATGTTTGCCATCTCTCCGCATGTGCATACAAGTTCGATATCAACACAAGATGATTTTCACTGTCACCGTTTGTGACACTTCCTGCAGTCTCGATTATCTTCATCACTTGTTCAGCCATCTCTGTATCCATATGAACCTTGCAAGCACCAAGTAAAGCTCCCAGAACTGTATCGTTCGGTTTCACAGGCATTTCTCTTACCAATCCATAAGCTTCTTTTAGCTTACCTGAGAGTCCCAAAAGATGAATCAAACATCCAAAATGCTTCACATTCGGTTCCACATCTTTGGTCTTCATCTCCAAGAATATCTTTAGACCTTCCACTAGAAACCCTCCATGAACACAAGCAGTCAGAGCCGCTAGAAAAGTGATCTCATCGGGTTTTGTATCCATCGTTCTGAACATCTCTAAAGCTTCTCTGCCTTTCCCATGAATAGCAAGACACGAGATCATAGAGTTCCAACACGCTACACTTCTCAGATTTAAAGACTCAAACACGAACATGGCACTCTCTAGATCCCCACACTTGGCATACATATCAATCAACGCATTAGAAACAAAATCATTAAGCTCAATTCCTTTAAATTGAATCAGAGAATGGACCTCTCTGCCAACATCAAGACGACCAGACTGAGCACAAGCAGACAAAACACTCGAAACCGTTACTGCATCCGCCTCAAACCCTTCTCCTTGCATCTTATAAAAAGCATCAATAGCCTCATCACAGTACCCATTCTTTGCATAACCAGTGATCAAACTGTTCCAAATCACCAAATCACGAACCTTTACACGGTTAAAAACACTTCTAGCCTCATCCACATTACCAACCTTAAAACACCCAGAGATCATCAAAGACCAAACAAAAGAGTTCTTCTCCGGTATATCCTCAAAGAACATCCGAGCAGCCTCCATCTCACGATTACTAACGTACCCTCCAAGTATCACCGCCCAAGCCTTCACATTCTTAAGCTCAAGAGGCATCATTTCAAACAAGTCTCTAGCTTTATCAGTCTCGTTTCTCTTCCCGTACCCTTTGATCATCTCGATCCAAGTCACTGTATTTCCACTTCCCATTATCTCTCCGAACAATCTAGTGGCCGAGACTGTGTCATCGTTACCCATATATCCACCGATCATAGCGTTCCAAGTAGGGATGTTTCTCTCAGGCATTTCATCGAACACTTTACGTGCAGAGACTATGCGTCCACATTTGCTATACATATTGATCAGTGAGGTTCTCACCATGACGTCAGAGTGAACACCGAACTTGATCGATTCGGAATGTAATAGGTTCCCAAGGACAAGACTTGGGACGCAAGCACATGCTTTTAGAAGTAAAGGAATCCATCCAGGAAAGAACACTCCTTTGCGGCGGATTGATTCGTACAGAAGCAGAGCTTGTTTTGGTGATCCTTTGGAAATGTGATTTCTTATAAGATTCGATACATGAAAATGGTCCTGAAAATTCATGATAAGTGTGACAGAAATAAAAAGAGACAACTCTTTGCTAACTTTGTAATGTTTTGGTTACTGCATAGAGACAGTTAACAAGATATTTAACCTCAGTTTTTATTTCCGATTTTATAGTTCTAAATTTTATTTTTCTTGCCAGAAAGTGTTACAAAGATGTTATATACCTTGAATCTGGAATAATTAGGTAGCATCCTATATCTAAGCCTAAAAAATACATGATCATTATACAGTTTCAAAAGATTGAGAGTTTGCTTTGTTGATCAAATTAAAGGCTTCTCTCAAGACTCAAAATTCCTGTTTTTTTTTCTTTTCAAAACTCGTTGTTTGAGGGAGGCTACAAAAGTGCAAATCTTGTCAGTTTGCCATAGAAATAGAAATGCGTTTACCCTGCTACTACTGTTTTCCCTCATCAATTTGAAAATATTATTCAACGGCGCCACCTTGAACAGATCTTGTAGTTGCGATCCAAGTCATCAGCTGAGAAGAGCTTCATTCTTGTTTAACTCATCCAAATCTACACTCACTCTTAAACCCGAGTTCACCAAAGCTTTGACCATCGCAGGGATGTCTGATTTCAGTGAAGCTGCTACTTCCTGTTTTTGAATTAAAAAATCTGGTTACAAGCTTTTGGTTTCCAAGTATACATAAAGCGAATTGATTCAGAGAGAATCCTACCTTCTTATCTTCTTCGTTTTGGTGCTTCACAACATCCGCAGGCCACTCGTTTACCAACTTCTTGAATTCAGCCTCAAGTGCTGACTTCTTCTCATCAGGATATGCCTATGAAGCATATACACAAACATGTATTAGAAAGTTTCATGATCAGGACGGTGGAAGGGAATGTTACTAAGCAGATTCTGCCTCACACCTGGCATATAATTTGGATGACAGCAGCAGCTTCTTCAGGTTTATGTTCAAGCAGAAAACCCTGGGAGAGAGAATAAAGTTTGAAAAGAGTAATCCGAGTTTTGATTCTAGAGAGCATGAATGGGTGTGGTAATGCTCCTAACATGAGGATGGTAGAGAGAAATGTTTTTACCTTTGCACATGAGAAAGCTGCGGAAAGAGTGTGTTGGGTGTAAGTCTCAGATCTCAGCTTATCAACCTTCCATAACGACTCTGTGTCTCCTGATAAACGATTAACACAGAAAGCAGTTAGCATCTAACTAGTATAGGAAAAGCTTTAACAAGCAGAGTTATGTTCTGCTATGATTTTAATCAAATCATGAGAATATACATATCTTAAGACAACTTCAAGTTAAAGCTATGGAACACAGTTGTGACAAACTCCTTTATATAACAAGAAATAGATGCAAAAAAACGACAAAGGAAACCAAACACACCAAAACCTACCTCTTTTGGCAGCAAATTCCATCCATACATCAAACGTGGTCTTCCTTAACTTGACTCCAGCTTTGCAGAATTTCTTCGAGTACTTAGCTAATAGATCCCAGCTACCTGTCTCATGACAGATCCTGCAAACATTCATTTCATGCTCATCGAACTAGCAAGCCATAGAAAACTGTAAAAAAGTGAGCAACACAGTAAGCCTAGGCACCTGAAAACTAAATCCGCTGTGCCAGGTTGTAGAGGCAGGTCATTCGCCTTCAGAAGTTTCATTACTTCGTCCATGAGGTTGGCGTTCTTGTTCTCTAACGCATATGTCTACATAAACAAGGAAACATCCTTAAAACCTAAAGGCATTAAAGAAACAACCAACAAACTTATAGACTCGCAAATACCAGTAAATGGTGAGCAGATGCAACGCTAGGAGTCAAACCATGAACATTATGTTTCCAAAGAGCCCGTTTACCTGAGGATTAAGTCACAAGAGCTATATTAGCATTGAAAGATTCACAGAACAGCCAAGTGAAGCAACAGGTTTTTTGAGAATACCATGGTTAATTGCTCCCACACGTACACAAGTCTTAGCAACTTGCCGGCATAGATTGCAATTAAAGTTGTCATGTATACGGAGATTAGACAACCTCTACATTCCAGAAACAAATATAATCTCAGACAAGATTCTCTCAACAGAGCAAGGATCAGAGAAGGGAGAAGACATAAACTACTCACAAATCTCCGAAGATTCTGGAGAGCGTCAAAGAGGAAACTAATGTCATCCTCCTTCTGACAATTCTCAATCAGTGACCACAACCAAGCATTTGGAGGCATGGATCTCTTGACATTCACAGAATCAAGAATCTTACCATGTAGCTCCTTGACAGCCTCTGCATACAGAAACACTCTAGTGAGCTCAATACCCATTAAAAAAAAACAAAGCTTTAACAATCAGCAAAAACCTGTAGGATCTTCGACATGTTTTGCTTCAGAGGAAAAACTTGATCTCAGCATCATAAGCCCAGTCATATGTGACTGAGTTGGCTTAGTGTTCATCCCTACAGAACACATTGTCTTTTCAATAACTCACCAAATTACAAAGGTCAAGACTTTATAATCTTTTGCACATAAAGTCTTAACCTTTTCGTCTTCTTTAAGAATGGGCAATCACCAAACATTGTTAAAAATGCGTGAAATGAAGAGATGGTACCTGGAGAGACAGGAACAGAAGTAGATCGATGGTTCTGCCATTGGGTAGAGTCAACAACGTGAGAAGCGAATCTCACATCAGCCTCGAAGAGTGCAAGGGGTTTTAGAGCCCGAGCGATTTTACGAGAGTTCGATAGATACTGCATGTCTCTGGATCCTTAACCTCTCTGAGTCCAGCTCTGTTATCGGATTGAATCAGTATGAACAACAGTGACGCAAGATTTAGGGTTTTTGTTTTCTTACACACTAAAAAGAGCATTTACATAAAACACCCCCATACTATTGGTTATTCGAAAATGACCCTCTTGTTTTCCCATATTTTTTACAGTGTCACTATATCAGTATATCCATATCCAGTCTAACTATCATTTCTAGATTTCTTAGATTTTTGTTATCTTTTCAAATATTTTCATTCTGATTTTTAATTTTTAATAATTGGTCTATTTTAGATTCATTCTTATACTTTCCTATTGAGAGAAATTTCTCCTAAGCGTCTCCTTGTGGGCTTCAGTTATTATCCAATAGTCTTTTAAGTGTTGTGTGTTGAGCAGTGTGTTTTTTGATTACCTTTTCACATCTCTGAATCGAAAATTGTAAACTCTTCTCAGTTTTTGAGTACTTTTGGGTAACCTTTTTGAATTCTAAAGCGCTTTCTTCAAGTGTTCTTCAGAAATTAAGAACAAAGAAGATAAGGTTGGTCAGAAGTTATTGCGAAGGAAAAGATTTTTAAGGCATTAAGTTGGTATTATGTCTTTAGCGATGGATAAAACGCTTATGGCGCTGTCTCTGAAGGAAGAGGATACGCATTTTGTCATGTCGGAGGCCCCGGGCTTCAGTTCGGCGGAAGAAAACAAACTCAGTCTAATCGGGAGGATACTCAACCCTAGATGTCAAAAAATGTCGACGTTGATTATGAGGATGCCTAGGAAGTGGGAGAAGGAAGGTCGCGTGCGGGGGATTGCTCTCTCTCAGGAGCGTTTCCAGTTCATTTTGCAGTACGAGCATGACCTGCTGGATGTTTGGAAAGAAGTGTTCACACGTTTAATGAATGGGTCATTGTTATGGAAAGATGGATAAGAAACCCACCAGAAGACTACTTGCAGTATGTACCGATTTGGGTCCAAATTAGGCACATTCTAGTTAATTTCTACACTGCTGAAGCACTGACAGCTCTTGGTGACCTGGTGGGGAAGACTATGGTGGTGGCTTTCGACCCTACAAAGCCGATAACACAAGATTTTATTAGGGTCCAGGTTAAGTTTAATGTAGCTCACCCACTTCGGAAGTTCAAAGCTTTCGCTCTTAAAGGAGAAAAAGAAGCTGAGGTGATGTTTTTCTATGAGAGGATTCAGAAGAGATGTTTCCATTGTCAATGTCTCAACCATGAAAAAGACTTTTGTCCCCTTTTGGTGAGACAAAGACAAGAAGAATCGTGATGTAGAACAGAAAGAATGACAGAAAGCTTACTGAAGAAACAAAGCGTCATAGGAAAGGATGACATCCTTTTTGGTATCATTGATGAAAGCCTGTTGGGAATTGATCCCGTTTCAGGTAACTGTAAGATTGCAAAGGAGGTTTTAGAGGAGATGAGAAGGTATCTAAGGGCGGAAACTGGTGATAGTCATGCGGTGAAGGTTGATAGGATTCAGCAATCTTTGAAGGAGGTGTAGAAAGACGGTAGGTCTCAGAAGACCACACTCAGATTGGAAGCTCCACTTGTCTTCATCTCCGATCTCAACAAAGGCAAAGGCCTAGTTTTTGAGTACGAAGAAAGTTCTGGAGATTCCAGAGCTAAAAGCATCAACAGCAATCCTGATAAAATTCTATCTGCATCCTTTAAAGCTCATGAACATCTTAATGCTGCTCAGTATTCAGACTCTGGACATCTTTTGATAGGGGATGATTCTGATAACGCGGTTTGTTTAAGCTCTTCTCTGGCTGACTATTCTACGGTTTTCAAGGTGGGTTGCTTTGCACCTTCCTCATCCAGGATAGTCAAAAAGAAAAGTGCTACAAGAAGAAGACCATCGAAGGCGGTGAGAGACCAGAAGAAGCAGTTTTCACCCTTGCTAGAACTGTGTCCGGAGATAACTACAAGAGATGGGAAACATGTTTTGGGGTCTAAGAAGAGGAAGTGCTCAGGACTGGAGCAAGAATCAAGTCCAACAAACAAGGCTGTGTGCCTAAAGGTAGTCCCAAAGGAGGGATTGCCCAATTCCCAATGAGCTTTATGAGCTGGAATTGTCAAGGCTTGGGGCGGCCTCAAGGCTTGACAATTCAAAGACTTCGGGAGATGCGTCAAGAACATGAGAGAGTTCACACTGTTAACTAAAAATTTGTTAATGGAAACTAAAAAATGTCGAAATGTAGTAGAAGATTTAAAAGTTTGGTTAGGATATGAGAGAGTTCACACTGTTAACCATGTTGGTTACAGTGGTGGTTTAGCT